TCATCTTCACTACTACTTGTGTCATGAGACTCTCATTCGTGTTTGAACGTTTTGCCATTGTTCTAATAAAAAATATGAATAAATACATAGGTTGAAAATTTCTAATTGTTATTACTAACTCACAAGATAATATTTACCAAACAACAATTTATTTACCAAGAGAAGAATCACTTTTCCGATTTTCTCACTCGTTAGATCTATCTATACCGCTCGACGCTTCAAACCAGACTGAGTTCAGCTTTGAAAATCTTTTCCTCCAGATTTTATCATTATAAATCTCACTATACAGTGCGTGCTATATTCGCATACCGATCTTTCGTCTACAAACTTGCCTTATCGCTCTTTTCAAGTGGCGCTTTTGAAGTGCTCGGACCGTCGTGAGCACGCCTCTCACGTTCTCGTCGAAACTCGCTGACATTTCTTGTATATACCTTAGTAATTTTACTATATTTTGATTTGATTTCTTGTGCCATTTCAAGAGAAAACTTCAAGGAAACACGCATGTCTGAAAAAGTTGCGCTGAAATAACTCAATTCCCCGTAATCACTAATAAACTTTAATGTCCCACGAGAGGGGACAGCGGAGTGCAAAGGGTTAATCCTTAACTGGTACGCGCTGGCGTCACGAATGTCGTGAATAGTAGTATTTCTATTTTATTCGTAGTAATAGTTTAATTTTTCATGGCTTTATTATTCCATACGCTAGCTAAGAATTAAATGCAATGTATCATTTCCGGTTTCTCCTGATCGCAGTGTACTGTACTATGTTTCTTGTCAAAATCATCGTATCGGTTAAGAACTAAAATAATGGTAGTAGACCGATCTTCGATCTATTCGTGCAACAATAAAAATTGTTTAACGTTAAATCAACCGATCGCTGAAAGTAACTAGCGCATATTTCTTTCTTGACACGTCTATCTCAATCAAGAAACGGGTAATTTTGACCAGGCTCGATAGGCTTAGTATCGCATAGCACCGACTCCCGGTAGACACATTCGCAGTCAACGACTGAAACAAAGGACACGAATAGACTGTAAAACGATATCAGTTTCAAATGATTCACCTGTCAAGATCACCGGCGCGTAATTAAAACGATTATCTTACCCGGCACGAAGGAAAAGCGCGAGAACCGGTCCAGCTCGTACGCGAAACAAACCTCAAACCTTTTTGTTCCATATAGAGGCACCGCCGCGTTGCAAACCGGAGATCCTATTAGCCGAGGTCGAAGCAAGCACACCACGTGACCTCGGACGCGAAATTCGCGGTTTCGACGTAACCGTTGGAAATTGAATGCCGTTAACCGTTCGAATTTCCCGGAGGACACGGAAACACGGCCGAGTACTACGTAACCTGTGTGCGATAAATACCTGCCAACGGAGTCAGGCACGAATATATTCCACCAGGAGGGTCTCTTCTGTCTAGTCTGCGCGTAGAGTCCGTCCGTGCTGCCAACTTGCGTCGGGACGCCGGCGATGCCTTTCCTCCTTTTCCGATCGAGTTTCGGCGGTTTGGCGAGCGGGTGCCAGGATTTTCGTCTGCCCTTCTTCGCGTCGAGATCCTGCATCCGCTCGTCCTCGAGCACCTCTTGGTTCTCCTCCAACAGATCCTGGGACACGTAGAAAACGGAGCCGCGTCTGCCGCTGTCGCTGCTGCGTCTCTTCTCCTTTTGCACCAGTTTCGCGTGCTCCTTCTCCTCGACGACGCTGCCGCGCCTCGCCTTCTGGAACAGGCTGTCCCTTCGCGCCTTCAGATCCTCGAGCACGCTGTGCCTCCGTCCCTTATTGTCACGCAAGATAGCGCTCGAGTCCCTTCGCTGCTGGCCGATCAATTTCGCGAACGACGACTCGTCCTCCATCATCGAGGGTATGGAGTTGGTGGACGCGTACTTGGTGGCCGCGTGACCATTGTTGTGGGCCTCGTTGCTGATGTACATCTTGGTTTCCATGCTACGCCGCCGGGTAACGACACCTTATCCTATCCGAGCACTGTTGCCGAACCGCCTTTAACAACACAACGAACGAACGAACGAACGAACCACTGAACTGCAAAAGACCACCAGACGAAGAACGAATTCGACGTTGCCGAAAAAAGAAAAAAAAACACGCGACGTATCACTGATCTCACAAAGAACACGGTCCCTCACCCGAGGCCTGCGATCATTTTCACCGGGGCTGCGTGCGAAGGGAAATACGGAAGGTACGAGTTGCGTACCGTTAAGGCTTGATCGGCATTATTCCATTGCCGGTGAAAGCAGCCACGGCGGTGTACCGAGTGACCGCCTTTTCACTCCTCGTGAAACGTGCTCGGTTGCCTGCTATCGGTACACGAACACGGACAGGTTCCAACCGTGTATCGTATCGACCGGACTTGTCCGTGCAGGTACGTACCGAGAAACGAACCGCTCCGAGATCCACGAACAGATCGTTGACCCGAGGGAATCGCGCGAAACCGGCCAACCGAGTCTCCGCGGACTTTTTGTTCGCGGCCGTTTGTTTCTTTATTTTCTGCTAGGTCGAGCCCTTGCTGGAAACTCGTTCCCCCGGCCAAATAAAGACACTCGGTTAACCGACTCGACCTTTGTTGTCGCGTCCTCGAACCGGGATAAAGTTCTCGGCTACCGCGGGCACCGTTTAATTGTTGTCACTCGTCGACCGTACGACCGATAGATTTCTCGCCGAACGGTCCGGAACGATCGATTTTCCTCTCGCAACTCCCTCGATTCTCGTTCGCGTTCCCCTTTTGTCCGGCGATGCGCTTTTCAGAGACGAAGCTTCCTTCTGTCGCCTGCCCGTGCCTGGTGACGTTTCGAGGTGAACGACTCCCGTGTCTCGTCCGATAACCGTGTCGAGCACTGCGCGTGGTTCGGTTTCTTCTTCAACACTGCACTATCACCGCGCAAGACAATCGAGCCTGGCCCGTCCAGGCCGGCGAACTGCGACACTCTGCCGATCTCATCACAACGATCCGTCGCGATCTGCCTGCTCGAGAGGATTCCTGATTTTTGATCGAAGAGGAGAAGACGCGACGCGACGCGAATCGCGCTGTTACCGTGGCTTCGTGAGCGACTGAAGCGGCCGCGCGTTTCCGTTGCAAGAAGAGGGACCGAAAAAACCGGTGGTCACTTTCTCTCGCGGCTTCTTTTTTTCTCTCTCCCTCTCCCTCTCTCTCTCTCTCTCTCTTCTCTCTTTTTCGCTCTTGCTTCCTTAGTCGTTTCACTCACTCTCTCTCTCTCTCTCTCTTTTTTTCCTCGCTCTCTTTCTGTCCGTTTTTCTGTGTCGAGCGGCTGTTCGATCGGACGTGCGCACGGATGCAGTACGCGATAGCCAATTGCGATAAATCGGTATCGAGGCACACTCACTCGAATCGACAGGCCGTCACCGAGAATCGAGTATCGCAGCGACTAAGCGAGAGCCAAGCCGACTGCTTGTATTTATACACGTCGAGGCACTCGGCCGAGACTGTCTCTTCGGGCGCATCCCCCACCGCCGGACCAAGTACCCAACAAGAGGAGACACGCACGATTTTGCGGTCTCGTGAATTATTGCTGGCGTACTTGCTTCGTACACAATTTCTTCTGTAGTTTTTTTCACCGGTAACGATGGTACGCCGAATCGCGGGACGTACGACGTGCTGCGACGTTTAGGAACCTAGGTTAGGTTCTTAATAATAAGAATCTTCGTACGGGAACTACCACCCTGTTCAAGTAAGCGTTTCATAGTTTTTGATGTTTCACCAACGGTAAACCATTTTCATATATTAATATTTCATTCAACGAAAATTTTTGCCAAAACGTCTTTAATAATTGAGTTGTGCTTGCGAGAAATTCGATAATTATTTCAGAAGTTATTGTGTTAGGCTAAGCCGCGCAAGGTGTTAGATTATAGTCGCTTTGGACAATAAATTCTCGAAGACTATCAGAAAATTGCTGGTAGATAAAGTGATAAATATAGCTGTGCTGAAAAGGAAGGACGTTTTAACACGGAATTCCATTGTTGAAATTACGATGATTGTATTCGTAGGTAATGATAGAGTAAATTTTTTTTAGTTCAAATATACATTATAATGAAATCGGTGAAAATTTTAAATAAATTCAGTTTTGTCATTCTCACAAAGCAACATACGCGAGTTTTTTATTTTTCTTTATTTAGTATTAAATTGGATTACTTTTTTAAGTCCATTAAATTGGTTCCATGATTATTTTTCTGATAAATACGTAAATCACATATTCTGTAGCTCGATGAATAATAATATAATAATATAAATAAATAATATAATATTGTATAATATTGTATAATTGTCAATTTTTGAAAATCGTGATGTGCGATGTTTTTCTTCGCAGCCATAGATACAATATCAAGGTTTTTAACGATTTTTATTGATATACCGTTTCTCGATACATCAATCGCACGGATTTTCAGTTCATGCATTTATTATTATCGTGTCCAGGTATTTTATCAATGTATCCAAATCGAACGAGACTTAACTAGTTACCAGTAATCCGAACAATGAGTTGCTGTAATTTCGAACAAACTATACGAGTAATAGTTTTCCTTCGACTATTAACCAGCAATATTACTGTTCCTCGAATCGTCTTAATTAGCGGTTCGTGCTTGACACGTTAACAAGACATGTGAACGATAACATCTGAAAATGGTAATCGATAATAAATTATATGATGAAATTGATAATATCTGATAATATTATCGCAAACTGTGATTATTCCCTGGTGAACAATGCGAACGCGGGCCGCCTTGATCCGCCGTGTTTATGGAAGATCAGAGACACGTATAATGGGTGACAACAGGCGGTAATGCCAGAATGATAACGAGCGTATCGCCTCTGTGTACCCGAAACAATAAACAATAACGTAACGGGCAGTAGCGTGAGCACATATTGTACTCTCTCAAACATCTCTAGATGCGAAGAAAAGTTCCCCAAGAGACTTCGGATCTTTCTATTTCGCGTCTTCTCGCATCCGCGCAGCAAGCAACGAGGAAAAACGTGACGTCGGTGCTAAAACGTCTGACGAATAATGTCACCAAGGTCTTGGTTCCTCCGCGCATCACGGTGCATATTTTTAGACGGCCAGGTGTCGAATAGTCATTTTAATTTTATTCTAATGGACACCGTGGAGGCGGATGCACGGCCCACCGAGTGCCAAAGTTTTCGACTCGGGATCCTCCTTCAAAGTTCTTGCCGCGCGGTTCCGGTTGGTTCTCTGGTGACTATCCAGGAAACGGTTTTCATTCCGCAACACGGTAGCGCCGTGTCTGAATTCCATAAATCCTGGTGTCATACAAGCCCGCGGTTCTAACGTCCGCGAAATAAATTTTTATGGGCCGCCACTTCGCGCGCGCGCGTATCTCGAGTGACGATAAAGATCTTCCTTGATAATGACGATAAGCACCGGAGGATTAGCTGTTCCGGAGGCGGCAGACTGCATAGAGCAAACAATGGCTGGCGACGAAAACGTAAGGAAGTCGCCGGCAGCAGCAGGAACACCTTTCCAACTATCTATCCAATCGTAACTCATTTCATAATCTAGTTCACTTAATGCCGCGTTCCCCCTAACTGGCGTTACTTAACTCCCGCCTGATGGCCGCCGGAACCCCGTTCGTTACTTAACACCTACGAAGATTAATTTCTTCCCGCATTCAGAGACCGGACCATTAAATTCCTGAAAGTATAGGATTTCGAACGGTCGTGAAACTGGCCGCTCTCCGGCGAGATACTTTTAGCTCGCAGATCATTTAATACCGAGTCAAACGGTTCCCCGCGTTTTCGTCGAGCTCGTGAAAAATAAAGTTTCTTTTCTTCTTCGGGCGCGCGCGCACGCAGTCGAAACGCTCGTTAGAATTGTCTTTATTTTCTAAGTCACCTTGTACGTTTGCCAATGAGGTTCTTCTGGTTTCCCATCGAAAACTGTACGGTTCGTTTTCCCAAATAACAGTTACCTCCAGTAGCATCCGAGATAACAGGCCAGCATCTTTTTACGTCAATTATTTCGTGGCTATCTTTCAAGTTAGCACGAGTGTGCCGTATCAATTAAATTCAGTCGAGAACCCTCGAGCTGATCGCAATCTCTGAGCGTCGTCTAACAATACGTTTTATCGCTTACGAAACGCTGTTTACATCGAGGTGCGCAGCAGGTTTCGACACAGCTCTGGTCGTCCGGCCCTTGCGAACCATGTAAGATGATAGACAAATGATCTGGGAACGAAAAGTCACTGGGAAATATTTGAATTTCAACAGTGGCATCCTTCGCCAGCTGCGCGCCATTCGTTCGGAGTCGTTTGCTTCATTTTCATGTATATTCATTGAAATTGGTTCATGCGATTGAAAATAACTTCCGACTCGTTCTATGCTATTTTTCTAAAGCTGTTACAATTCGAAATTTTCTTTCTCTATGAAATAACTTGAACCTTACTCGTTGCACCGTAGGTTTACTCGTCGTACTTACGAAATCAATTTTAACAAGAAAATCGTCAGCTGATGTTACCCAATTTTCGGCAATTAAATAAAATCAATTTCTATGGCGCTAAGGAGAAAAGAAAAACGACAGGTCTACAAGAAGTATCTTCGAAAATATATTTTAATACCTTGACGGCCGCGCCGGAATCCTCAAAAATCTCATGGAATTAAAGTATTTTATTCGATCGAATTAAAACTGCAAAGCAAAATTATATGACACCGAGTGCTTTGTCAACGATTAAGGAATTAGAATGGATTGGCGAAAAAATTAATTTTTAAGAACTAAATTTTAAATAATTTTGTCACCCACGTAAAGGGCGACGCGATGACCCAAGTGTTAATAGTATATGATACATTTAATTAACATTTAATTATGATACATTTGAAAAAAGAAAAAACTGTGTCAAATCCATTTTTATAATTTTTTCGCAAAGTCACGTGTACGTGACTCCGGCCGTCAATGTGTTAAGAAATTGATAAACAAAACTGAGTCAATTGTATAGTTGTGAGAACAACTTTCAAGTGCAAATAAAAAATACTGAACTATTAAAAGAAAATGTTTACATTACTAGATACATGTTTATATCATAAATTGTTGAAAATGCAAGTGTTATAACAGCAAACAAGCTCAGTTTAATATGCATAAAATGCAAAGATCATAGCGGAAATATTGTAGGTCGAGAAGGATGTCTTGATTATGGAGTCAAAATAGTTTCTTCGATCGCGACAGATTAATTACTACGAATTGTTATCAATAGTACCCTATTTTAAGAATTAGTACTAAGAATAGAAAAAACCAAAATATAACTTGTGAAAGAGAATCTAACAGCGAGATATTCGATCATAAATCGACATTTACGCTTTTAAATGGTAGATTGCACATCCCAACACATAATTCGTAATGATTTAATTTCTAATTAAATGCTCGCCGTTTAGGGATTAACGGTAAACCTTCCGGGTCCAAAAAACAACTATCGCGCATTGCTTTAAAATGATGGAACGACCGTATCCATTTGGACGGCTGTATCGCCATTTTTAAAGAGTGCTTATAATTTCGACAACGTTAAAATCAGAAAATGTGAAACCGGTTATTTTGACCGGCTCGGTCGGTTTTGCGTTGAAACCGACTCGTCCAAGGTAATGCGATCATTTAGGACCAGAAATTGCGCCGGCAATAACGCGATGCCACGGCCGTAGGTTAGATCATCGCCACTGGAAACGCGGATGCTCGTTTTGGTCTCGCCGCCGCGCCGCGGACGGACGAAAAAATGGTACACTTTTCGTCAGAAATCATGCGACGCGTCGTCGTTCCCTTAACGAAGCCTCGGGGTTAAACGGAGGCGGACGTGCAAACCAGTGGAAACAATTGGCCAATTCGTCCGCGCCCAATTAGAGAATTGCAGCGATGAAAATACCGGCTACGCTCTTAATTCGATTCAGCCAATTAGCTGTCTCTCTCTCCGGGCAGGCAGTTTGTCTCGCGCGCGCGCGCGCGCGCGTGTTCACGAGCCTAGGAACGTAGGAGCACGGTTCTCTTCTTTCGCATTGAGCAAAAACAGGCGCGGTCGAACGGGCCCGGTAATTTCGGAGGCATCCAAACAGCCGATACACCTGGCCTATTTCGTCGGCCCATTCGCGGGCTTCCCCTATGAATTACCGGCGACCCAATTCCCTTCGAGGAAACTGGCTCGCGACGATGCCCGAACGAGCCACCATCCTGCTTGTTTCCTGGCCGGAATTAGGTCAAAGTCATATCGCGACGAAAAAACGTCTCGTGACCCGGCCGTGAATCGAACGCTCGAATATCCTCTATTGCGCAATCGTATCCAGCCCGATGCCGCTGGAACTGCTGATCGAGTGGCGAGCATCGCCATTTATAATGAGTCCGATAAGTTAGATATATGTGGTTCTCGGCGTTGACATTCTTGGAGAAAGTAATCGATAATGACGTGT